AATAATGCTCTTTTTAATTAACTTTCCCTACAAAAACCAAATAAAAGAGGTATAAAAATATAGGAAATAATGCACTTATCAGTCTCTTACCTTGTATGACTAATCTTTTTTATCGTAAAATTGTTCCTTAATCCTATTTGTTTTCTTTGTAATAGAAAGCCAGATACAATTATACATGCTTTATGGTATTGTCCATCAGCAAAAGAGGTTTGGCTACTTTCTCTCCTTTGTCTTCTTTGGTGGGCGAATATGCTACAAAAATTCTCTCTCAACAAGAAATAGGCATTATCTCATATTTGTGTTGGAGTATTTGGCATAATCGAAATGAGTATTGGTTTCATGGTACATCTATCCTTGCATGAACTCTAGTTACTCAAACTTGTGCTCTAGTTACTGAATTTCAGCAGGCAAATGAAAAGGAATCACTTCACCAACCTATCCCTGTCTTTTGCTCCATTTGTGAAGTTGAACGTGGATGGTGCAGTTAATTTACGGGAGAGTTTTCGGGGTCTAGGCGTGGTTGTTCGTAATTGTAATGGGGAACTTATGGTGGCGGCTTCCAAATGAGTTTGGGGAAATTTTACTCCTAAGGCTACTGAGCTTATGGCAGCATGTTTGGGTTTACAGGTGCCATCTCAGATGGGTTATGGGTATCTTGTTCTGGAAATGGATGCGATGTTTGAATGCTTTACAGGAATGTTTGGATTCCAATGGTGCATTAGTAGCAGAAGCGCAAGCCTATCTAAAGCTTTTTCCAGTTGTGATTTGTCAATATGCTTCATGTAGTTGTAATCAAGTAGCACATTGTCTGGCTAGGCATGCGTTGTTATGTTCAGATTTTCATGTTTGGATTGAAGAGGGACCTATGTGGTTGTCAACTGAATTACTCTTTGATGTCTCTGATGTTTGATTTAAATGTTTTTCAGGATCGCTGTTGGTTGGGCTGCAAGTTTCAGGTGCTGTCCAGATTTTGTTGATGTGCAGATTGAAGGGATGTTCATGCTTCCTCTTCTTTCTTTATTTTCTTGTTATTTCACCCTTGAGTTGTTCAGGCGCGAGTCTTTTTTAAGATCACGCATCTATTCCTCTCTCTCATGTTTGAATTTTGGATAATTTGGCTATTTTCAATGGTATCTTTTATACACTCTTATGATGCTTATTGTTTTTTTAATAAAACATCTATTCCAAAAAAGAGAAGTGAAAGTATAGGACTGATTAAAATTCATTAGATTAATATTGTGGTTGACATTCTTGTAAATGCTTATAAATGAACTCTACCTAAACCTCATTTTGGATGAAGGATTTGAAAATTATATAGAATTATAAAATGACGGAATTTAGGTTTCCATCATTTCAATTTCCGACAATTGAAGATTTTAGTGTTTGAATTTATGTATATCGAATTTTGTAAATGACAGAACTTGTAAATGACACTATGAAAATTGTGAAATGACGCATATTTTGGTAGAAATTAAACTTGGGAATTTGATACCCAAATTTCCACGATTTTTTCCACACGTAATTTAATAAATTTCGCCCTTAAGTTGTCAAATAAGGGAATTGTCAATTTCACCTATTAAATTCCCGACTTTTAGCTAAATTTCGAATTATTTTCCCTCGTCCAAATAGAGGCTGTGTCGTTGGTTGGGATCAGCAAAAATCTTGGGTGCAAATAGAATTCTCCTTGAGAAAAATCTGTTTCATGTTGGTAGATTGCATTCACCGTGTCCGAAGGAAGACAGGAAATTGTTTTTTCATTATTATTCGCGTCTGCCCCAAAAGAAGAACCGTCAACCTGTCACTGGGGCCCATAATCTCCACCTCGCCAACTTTAAACTATAAAAAAATTCAATCTCTCTCTCTCTCTCTCTCTCTCTCTCTTTCTCTCTAACTCTGTAGCAACAACGAAGAAGAAGGAAGGAGGAGGAAGACGAAGATGGGTGTTTTGACAACAGGAATGGGCGGCGATTCACTGAGCCTCAGAGCAGCCATGATGAGAGAGTCACTGCAAAAGAGCCAAACCATCACTGACAGCGTCGTCTCCATTCTCGGCTCCTTTGACCACCGCCTCTCCGCCCTTGAAACCGCCATGCGTCCTACCCAGGTGGGTCTTCTTCTCCCAACTTTCTGTTTGGGTCGCCAGAAAATCTTATTCAACAAGAATGGAACCAAGCTTGGATCACTTAGAGTTTGACTTGGCCTTACTTTTCTTAACAGACCCAAATATGGGTCTTAGAGATTTTTGACATTTTTTTCTTGTAATATCTTAGTGACCAAAAGCCGGATCTCTCGGGCACTGTTGGGATTTTGATTTTCTTTCACAATTTGGAGCTTTTGTTCATGTTTTCTTATTGGGTTTGTTTGAATTTTGGATAGTACAGATTAGAACGCACTCTATCCGGAAAGCACATGAGAACATTGATAAGACCTTGAAGGCTGCTGAGGTTATACTGGCACAATTCGATCTTTCTCGCCAGGTTAGTCAGAGGATTTTCTAAATTTGTTTAATGTTTAACAAGATTGAATTTATATTGATTAATTTGAAGTTGGGTATTATCCCTTTGCGTTTAGGAAATTCATGAGATCATTGTTAGTGGTTGTACTCTGGGGTGAGTGTAACACTTTATTTTATGTTTTTAGTTTTGTGAAATGGCATTTGTATACCGTGCTGATTAATATATATCTAAAGAAGCATGCTATTTCAAATTCCTTGGATTTTATTTGTTGACGTTTGTTTGTTTGCGATTGCAAGGGCTCAGGTTTTACCTTTAGGCCGAAATAATCCTGTTTTGTTCATCCCGTGTTTTTGGTGCTTTTAAAGAACATGGGAATTGTTTAATTTTTGTTCCATTTGGACGGGATGATTTAGAAGAAAGGATTTGAATTTATGAGAATATGACTAGATTAGTTGACAAAACTATATCTGACAAAAAAAAAAAAAATTGACAAAACTATAAAACACTGGATAAAATGTATTTTTAAATAGATTTGAAATTACTAGTACCACATAATTTATTGAATTTGAAATGACTAGATCCCCGAATCATTTGACATCCATGCATTTCTTCTTATTATTTTCATGTAAATGCTACAAATAATTAAGTCACACTATTTTACTGTATAATATTGATTAAAATCCTTAGATTTCAAATCTCTCTATCCAAATAGAAGAGGGATTTACATGCTAATTACAATATTTGGAAAAAATCTAGAAAAGACAAAGCTGTCATACATGATGACCAAATTCAATCATTCGATCATGTATTTCAAGATTGTTGAATGTGCTTTGTATGTAGGATTATTGTTTCTTTTGGAATTATATCCAGCTAACCATTGACATGTAATATTTTGGGTTTGGTGAATGGTTGTGAAGCAGTCATGGTGCTTGCAAGCAACGGAGCCTAGGCACTGACACATGAAAATTATGTTATTTTATGTTTATAAGGCGAGTCATTTAAATGTTGGTGGCTATGTGTCTGACACAACCACCTTCTAGGGTTGTCCATGCTTCATAGTTTGCAAGATATGACCTTACCTTACCTCTCCTTCTTTTCGAGTCTTTGCATATTCAATAATCTACCTCTCATTCAGAAATTCTTTAATCTTTTCCAGCAGTAAAATTGCTTTTTTCATTTGAGAACTTTAGAGTTGAAACAACTGGGATATTTTAACCTTGTCTTGCCTGTCTCTATACCATTTCACTTACACATTTATATGTTATATGTCTTATGTCTTATGATGCATGTTAACCATTATGCCTGTTGATATTGACGTCCTTTCAATTTGCAGGCTGAGTCCAAAATCCTTAGAGGGCCACGTGAGGACTTGGAAAGTTATCTAGAAGCAATTGATCAGCTAAGAAGCAATATACGGTTCTTTAGTAGCAACAAAGGCTTTAAGAGTAGTGATGGAGTTCTCAGTCAAGCAAATAGTTTGCTTGCTAAAGCTATTTCAAAGCTTGAAGATGAGTTCAAGCAGCTGCTGTTGTCTTACAGGTTTGTATTTCAATGCTCAACAATACCTTTATCCTGTTCTTTTGGGAAATACCACCCTTTTCTCTAAAAATCAACCAATGCTCCTGTATTGACATTGGAGAACCTGTAGCTTCAATTGTTTCAATCAAGTCTCTGTAATTTAATTATTGCTTGCAATCAAGTCTAAAATAAGAATTCCGTCAATTTTTTAGATGGTAGATTCATTAGTGCATGGTAAATATGATCCAAGAACAAAATAATGTTAAAATATTAAAAAGGAAAAATTGAAAAGAAAAAAAAAAACCATGGAAGACTTCCATCTTATCCACTTCTCCAACAACTCTAGAATTATATCCAGCCTGATCACCACAATCCTGAATCTAACAAGCTCAATCCCATACCCATGTTCTTGATTGCAACCACTAGTTAACTACGAGGACTTGATTGAAACAATTGAAACTATAGGAACCTATGTCGCATGGATACATATATGAGATATGCGATATTATATGATACGGCGATATGGAACTACAAACTACTAAATATATATTAACAAATTCCTACTCATCCCTTTATATACAGGGGCGGAGCCACAATTTTAGTTCATAGGGGGCACCCTCAAACCAAAACATTGAAGGGGCCCCCATGGGCACTATGTGGTTCCAGCTACTGCTTATATAGAAAGCACTAGTAATTTAATGTCAATATTGGAACAAGCTTTCCAGAAACAATGTGAGCCATATCAGTATCCACCTCTCTAATTCCTCTTGGACTGCTCTTCTGCAGCTGTTCAGTCCAGAGCTTAGTAGATATTGTCTAATATGCATTATGTTAAGAATTTCCTATTTTATGTTAGTCCTTAGTGACGACATGTCATGGCACACTTCTACCTTTTCCTCTTCTTTCCTTGGGTTGATCATGCTTGGTAGTTGTGACTGGACTGGATTGAGACTGAGTCCAGTCCAGTCCCATAGAGACCCATCCCTTGGGAGGGGACTTGTTTAACAGATGTCCATTGTAATAGTCTAGTCTCACTATTGTTAAGTTCAGCAAAGATGGGACAGGACTGTCTGTCCATTTCAATTGAATCTGTCCTTTTCCAGCCCCACCTACCAATTGTGGCCATATATGTAGAACCTAGCACTATTATCGACATTCAGCTGATGAATAAGAATTGATTCCCTTTTTTGCATTTTCTTTGCCTTCTTGCTATAAGCTCTCATGAAAGAGAAGTAGAAAATCCTACGAATGCTGTTTAGAATTGATTCCCTGTTTAGAGTTGCAAGTGTGCTCCATTGACACCGTTTATCTGTTTTTTTTATTTTTTTTTATTTTTATTTTCAGCAAACCTGTGGAGCCTGAACGCCTTTTTGATTGCCTCCCAAACTCGTTGCGGCCATCCTCAGGGTCTCCTGGTGATTACAGTGGCAAGAATCCATCCAATAATCATGCTGAACACCACAACAATAGCTTAGAAAATGCTGTTTACACACCTCCTACTCTAATACCACCACGGGTTCTTCCATTGTTACATGATTTAGCCCAGCAAATGTTTCAAGCTGGTCACCAACAGCAGTTGCTAATAATTTACAGGTAACAGAAGGGTCATTCTTTGGTCTTCAGTTATCTTATGTAGAATGTTGGTTTTTTCATTCCCTACATGACAACAGGTTCAAGATTTCATGTTATGTCAAAGGCACGTGATTTGTTAAACAGTTACTGTGTTAAAATATAAATTTGAAGACTTCCATGGAAAAAGTCAGGTAGTTAGTCCTGTATTCAGATAAAAATTTCTAATGAGAAGCTATTTCATAAGTGAATAAAGTTCTTTGATGTTGGACAAGCTCAAATTTTATTGAGCACAAGAGAACTGACCTATGTGCATAGACACTTCCATAAAACATTTTCCGTGCTGGACTCCCAAGGATGTGACACTTGTGTCCACAATTCTCTGCATTCTTATATATGATGCAGCTTCATCTGCTAGAAAGAGCCGAAACTTGTCAAGGTGTTGAGTATTTTTTGTCAAGAAAACTGCACCTAGTTATTATTGTCATAATATTTTGATAATGGTTCGTTTACAAGTAATGGTTTGCAAAAGCATATATAGATGTCTATATATAGAACTTCACAATTTTGTTGACGTCCTCGTTTCAGGATTTTTGGAAAATGCGTAGGGCACACAAAAACTTGTCCCAGTGCTCTCATATCATAGGAATTGGGTTTTCAAATAATGAAGAAAATCCAGTGTGCAGAGGTGGCTGTTTTGTGCAATTTCATTTGTAACTTCTCTGTCGTCCTTGGGAGTCTTAACAGCATAATTATATTGATTCTAGCTGGTCAACTTCAGATCTTATATTTGAATATTTTTCGGTTACGTAAAGTCTACTTATGATCCCATGCACGGTTGCAGTATTTGCTTGGACTGTTATTTTTCATCACTGCTTTACTTATGTGCGCTTCTTTGACTACGTGTGTAGCTTTTGTTTTTGTTTGTCTTTTTTGTTTTTGCTTTTATTCAAAATATGTTTTATCAATCCTTTTTTATGTTTTCAGGGATACTCGTTCGTCAGTTTTGGAAGAAAGCCTTCACAAATTGGGGGTCGAAAAACTTAGCAAGGATGATGTTCAGAAAATGCAATGGGAGATTTTGGAGGCCAAGATTGGGAACTGGATTCATTACATGCGTATAGCTGTAAGGAATTTGTGGCATTTGCTCAACTTCTTAGGTTATCTGTGTTTTTCCTCAATATCTAACTGGGCTTGAACAGGTCAAATTACTGTTTGCTGGTGAACGGAAAGTTTGTGATCAAATGTTTGAAGCCTTTGATTCTCTCGGTGACCAATGTTTTGCTGAAGTTACCAGAAGTAGTGTCTCAGTTCTACTTAGTTTTGGAGAGGCAATTGCTAACAGCAAGAGATCCCCGGAAAAGTTATTTGTACTTTTAGACATGTACGAGATAATGCGGGAGCTGCACTCTGAGGTTTGAATAATCTAACAAATTTATAAAGCATGCACTAGGTATACAATATGACAAATTGGGCCTAAGGAGATGATATAATTTGGTGTTCCCCTTAGGTGCAGTTTCATCACTTGATAGCCTGAAATTTGTAAAGATGTTGATTTGTCTAGAGCACTTTGAACATTAGGAATTCATCACAGTTTGGCGAACATAGGATAATTAGGCATATCAGACAACTTTTAGTTTGAGAATTAAGGGCTTTTGGTGTTAAAATTTTGTACTCTGTTGTTTCTTTCCATGATGCTTTGTTTTTATTATTTACTTAATTTCAGGAATTAGTATGATCAATTATTTCACTCTTCATTTCATAAGGTTAGAATGTACCCTTGGTGATTGCTTGTAATGCAATATATCTAGGATATTAAACTTAATATGATATGTTCCATTTCGCATTTGCCTGGTGTCTAGGTTTCACATCTGTCTTGCCTGTGTGTTTTAGAAAGTAAGTCATTTGCTGGCATGGTGCAACAGATTCATGTTTTAAATTGATGCCTGAATTCATTTGCAGATTGAAACGATCTTCATAGGTAAAGCTTGTGCTGAAATTAGAGAATCAGCGTCAAGCTTGACAAAACGGCTTGCCCAGACCGCGAAAAAGACCTTCGGTGATTTTGAAGAAGCAGTTGAAAGGGATGCAACGAAAACTGCTGTATCTGATGGCACCGTCCATCCTTTGACAAGCTATGTGATCAACTATGTGAAGTTTCTTTTTGAGTAAGTTTCATTAATTTTAGGGTTTAAATATTTAGGCTTAAGTCTTCGCCTAGCTAGTCCTGTTGCCTGAACTGGTGGTCTATGATTGGAAGATGATTCCAACAGACTTCTTATTTTCTATCTTGAAATCTTTCTTACATTCTTCTCTGTCGTTATATATATATATATATATATATATATATATATATATATATATATATATATATATATATGTATGCATATGGAGAGCAAAGATTCTCTATACATGACGTCTCATATTTCTTAAAGACGGTGTGTGTTGGGAAAGCCTCACTTCTACTCAATTTTCTTCAACTTTGATCCCATCTATTGATAGGGTTGACTATTTAGGGTATAGAATGGTCCTTTAGAGCTTAAATTTTAGGTTATAAGTATCAAGCCCACAATTTTAAAACCTAAAATCAAAGAGACTAACCAATTGAAGAATGGAAATGTAAAGTCTCAGCTCAAAATTATGATTTTACACCTGAAAACAATCAACCATGTCAATAAATGGGATCAAAGTTGAAGAAAATTGAATGGAAGTGAGGTTCTCTCAACATGTCCTGTCTTTAAGAAATATTGGACGTTCTGTATAGCGTATAATTGTATATATAGAGAGAGATTGGAACAATTAAAGTATGAAAATACTCCAACAATCAAGGTTGGAACAATCTCACCTGTAACTGTTTAATCTAGAAGAGAAAGATCCAAGAATTCAAGATGATTACTTGTTTTAGCTATTTATTTTACTTGTTAGATCCTTATTTGCTACTATGGATGGTAATGTTCTCTTTCCAAACAGACAAGTTATGTTACCAGAATTTCAACCAACCACATGTTTAGACATGATTCTACTTGATCAAGGGATCTGGTTTAGGCACTACTAACATAACTTTCTAATCTAAACTGTCTGGCAAAGGAATGTTAGTTCTATACATATGCATGCATTCACACTCATGTTACTCTCAATTATATATATGCATGCATTCTCTCTCTCTCTCTCTCTCTCTCTATCATGCGATGAGATTTTGATTTGTTGACTGCAACAGGGTAGTGCTGCTGATGTTGTATGAATTTTTCGTTGGGAAGGGTCATGTGTCCCTAATCACACACACACACACACACACACACATGCATGCATACGGACATACGCACTCATGCATATACGTACATACTTTTTTAGGCTGGTCAACAGCTACATGTTTCTCACTTAGACTTTAAGTTTTAACTATCATATAGGTTTATGTATGCCTATTTCTTAATTTGTTAGGTTTTTTTTAGTTGACTGACACTTTATTTTACAGTTACCAATCAACCTTGAAGCAACTTTTTAAAGAATTTGAAAATGGAGATGAAGGTGGTTCACAATTAGCCTCTGTCACTATGCAAATAATGCAGGCTCTTCAGACCAATTTGGATGGGAAATCTAAGCAGTATAGAGATCCTTCTTTAACTCACCTATTTCTCATGAACAATATTCATTATATGGTCAGATCGGTGCGCAGGTTTGTCTCAGATGTGTTTTGTTTGACTTTTTAGTTAAAACCTTGGAAGTCTATTTTATGTGCTCTCCTGTTTCATATTGTTTTCAGATCTGAAGCCAAAGATTTGTTAGGGGATGATTGGGTGCAAAGACACCGGAGGATTGTGCAGCAGCATGCAAATCAATACAAAAGAAATGCTTGGGGGAAGGTGCTCTTTCTTGACCTAATTAAACCTTCACACCATAAATTTACCTTCGTTCTTGTTTTGGTTTGCTTTATTTCATTTTTCTTCATAGGTATTTGGTTCCTACTTTCTGGAGCATTAGTATTTACCTTTATGATCGAAGTAAAGCTTTTAGCAATTCTTTTATGGTTTCAAATATGTTAGTCATGGGCTGGAGACAACTGATATTATATTGATGAAGATATAAGAAGGAAAAATTGATGAAGATATGAAAGTTATCTCCAGGCTGGAGACAACTGATATTATATTGTGAATGTGATATTAGATTTTTTAATAGTCCAAAGAGAGTTTATATGATGTAAAGTTTTACATAAATTGTTAGAAGTGGTGTTGTGCCTTGATTTTGTCATGTGTGGGCTGGTATGTTCAATCATTAGTTTGGCATGTTGAATCCTACTATGAAATAGCTACCCTTCTCAAATCCATGACCTGTGTGTTTTATATTTCTTATAAAACACATTACATTTGCACAAAGTATGGTTTTCCTTTAATAATTGAAAGGCATGTTCAACTATCAGTCATGACCAGTGAAAGTGACGTAGATGACCTTACCTGGCATATTCTAAATTTAGGTTGATAGTGCCAGATATTTATTAGATATTTACTAATATTTTGTTTTGAGATTTTCTTTCTCCTCTCTGTGGGTTTTGCATTTTTTTTTTTGGGCTAAGTGGCTATTACCTATATAAGCACAATGAAAACCCTTAATGTCTTCATGTTGCTGTAGCTAAATAGTAAATACCAAAGATTCACTGTCTCGATTTGTACAATTTCATTATAGTTAGAAAGTTACATTCTACTTCATAGAGATTGGAAAACAGTAGAAAAGAAAAAAGAAAAGAAAAAGAGAATAAGACAAAGGTTTTTGGGTTGAATACAAAGGGGTAATTAACTTGTTTGTTATTTACTTATGGTATACTTTGGGTGTGGGTTGATTCAATTCAGCGCTAAAAAGGTGTTATGACTGTTTTGGTGTGTTGGTTAGAGGAATGCTAGACTCTTTGAATAAAGGCTAGGAGATGCGGTGTAATTTTTATAGGGTAGACTGTAAAGTGTTTTGGGTTTCTTTATGGGCGTTGGTATCCTCTGTTCTTAGAGATATACCATTTAGATAGAGGAAAAAGGTCCGAAAAGAACAGTTTGAGTTCTATTGAATAGTAGAAATAGGGTGATTCTGCCTGATATACCCGTTCTATGTCCTGTTAGTTTTTCAATCACCAACCAATCTGCATTTATTTCTTGGATAATATTTTCTCTTGCAATATTACAGTGACGCAGAAACATGCTTTACATAACACATAACACTTTCAGTGCTCATTTCACATTAAACTATTTTTTCGAAAAAATTCTGTTTTTCGCTACCTTCTGAATACTGGTGCTTTCCCTTGTGCAGATTCTGCAGTGCCTCTCCATTCAAGGCTTGACCTCATCTGGTGGTGGTAGTTCAGTAGCTGGTGATGGAGGAAGCAGTGGAGTTTCACGAGCAATTGTTAAAGATAGGTTGATCTCAACTTCTATCCCTATCAGACAAACTTAAAATACGCAATTTGAGGAACATTTTGACCTACTAGCTTAAATGCATTCCAAATCAGGTTCAAGACGTTCAATATGCAATTTGAGGAGCTTCATCAAAAACAATCTCAGTGGACAGTTCCTGATACTGAGTTGCGAGAGTCACTGAGACTTGCAGTAGCTGAAGTCTTATTGCCTGCCTACAGATCTTTCATAAAACGTTATGGGTGTGTTTTCTCTATCGACTATGGTTTTACATGCGCACATCACATATGCAGTATATAGAGAATTTGTTCTCCCTTTTCTCATAAAATTCTGAAAAGTTTTAGACCTCAAAAAATCTAAATCAAACATTCAAGGCCCAAAAAAAAAAGAAACAAAAAAATCTGACCTATTATACAAAGTAATGTTGAGATCTATATATTTAGCAATTTTATCTAAGGAACCTAACATGCAAGACTTCACTTCAGTCGTGTCCTGTTGAATAACATCTAACAATTATTTATTTTTGGACTGGTAATTCGACTGCTATCATGGGTCTTTCACGTTCTCATAAATGGTTTAAGTACTGGTTGTATCTGCCGGTAACAAAATCTGTATATATTCTATTTGTCTGACAGGCCTCTAGTTGAGAGTGGGAAGAACCCCCAAAAGTATATCAGATACGCAGCAGAGGATCTTGAACGAATGCTGGGTGAATTCTTCGAGGGCAAGAACGTGAATGAACCCAAGCGGTAGTTTTGCCCTGTCGTGCTCTCTCTCTCTCTCTCTCTCTCTCTCTCTCTCTCTCTGTGTGATTATTAACCCAATGATGTGTACGATCGGCTCTGGTATCGTATGGACTGTTCGTTGCCCTTGCCGGGGGGGTTAGAGGCTAAATCCCTGCATGCATGGTCTCAAAGTATTTCTGTTTAGGTGGTAATGAGCTCAGCATCTCTCAGTCTTCTAGTTGCTGGAATGGCTTGGGAAAAAGAAAATAAAGATCAGTAGATTTTGGTTTGGTGTTAAATGACATACTGAATAAGAGTAGATGTCTATCTTTGCACATATGCTTGTGTAGTCCCTGCCTTCATGGCCTGCCGGTTTTCCGAGTTTATATTTGTAATTTGATACAAGTGGGTAGTCCTAGCGAAGCTGTTGCAGCCTGAAGTAGGGTTTTCAATTTTATCAATTCATTATAAAATGTATTTTTTAAATTTTTTGTGGAATGCCAATGATTTGTTTTTGCAGAATTTTCCACCAACAGACGAACAGAGCACCAGTTAGAAATAAAAAACAAACCAAAACAACTCAACTCCCTAGACGTTCTTCCCCTCCCACCAGATTGAACCAAAAGATCCAAAACAGAATGGACTCCATCCTTCTATCTTCTCTGTTCTCTGTTTTAGTTCAAAGAATTGAGTAGCTACACAGCTCCCAGCTTAATATATATTTTTTTATCCATATTCTAACCAAATAATTAAATTAAAACCTTCTTTCAATTATACTTTATATTTTTTAATTATAATAAATCAATACAAGGAAAGCTTACGCCTCGCTTTGAGCGATATAAAAAATATCGTAATGGGAGACGAGCACCTTTCAACCATACACAACGTAATGGGGCGTAACGTAACTTCTTATTTCGTATTATGTATGCTTGTGAGTATTATGTTAAGTTAGCATTGTGTATGTGAAGCAATTAGACCCTATTTTCCAACATTTAAATCATAAGATATTGACACAAATTAGAAAACTCCATAATTATTATTATTATTTTCTAAGAAAACTCCATAATTATTGATATTTGTAAGTTGTATAGATTTTTTGTTGCGCGCCATGAAGCTACAACCTCGTTGACAATGTAAAAGGGAAGTGGACAGAGCACGGCCACGTTGCGCGCCATGAAGCCACGAGTTCTTCTTACTCTTCTTGTTTTCTTCTGAAGCCAAGCCATCACTCAGTCTCTCACATTCTTTACGATTCAGGACCTGTTTTGCCCGCAACAAATTATCATCTTCGGCCATGGAGAAAAACCAACAAGGTTTCATTTCTCTCTCTTTTTAATTTCTGAATTTGTCTGAATTTGGGGATTTTCAAATTTTTCATTCCCATGAAAATAAAATAAAATTGTGGGTTCTAGTTTTTCGTGGATTTTGGATTTTTCATATTGGTATGGTTTTACGGTATCATATGCATTACATTTACGTTATCTTGAATTGAAGATAAGGAAGAGTATATGGATCAGAAGAGGGAAGCGTGCTGCAAAGGAGCATGTGAATTTATTTCAAGAAAGCACCTTTCTGATGATATAATGCCTCACATTCTAAACCTGTAAGTTTCATTCTCCTTGGCACTCTCTTTTACAGATAATAATGTCAATAATGCTATCTGGGTTTTAGTTATCTTGCTCTGAAATGTATGGATATGGAAGATTTATATATTTATTTACTCTTCAGTTTATAAGGGGTCTGTTTTATTATAGATAAAGTTCAATAATGCTTACTGGGTCTCCATCACCATCTTGCACTACAATGGAGGAACATCAATTTTAGGCTAATGTTTAGAAAATTATTGCATTGGCAAACCATACAAATCATTCTCTTGATGCTTGATCAATTTTCGGGAAATCAAATTAATTTTTTTATAAAAAAAAAAAGGGGTGATCATCTATTTACCTCTATGGTTACCGTGCCAAATTGAATTCAGTTTGTTTTTTCATTTTTGCACTCGAGTGCTAATTATTGATCCCTGCAAATTTAATGAGAATTTTTGTTCTGGATCATTTCAGATATGGATCCCGTGCAACGGCCTCTGACTTTGAAATCTACAGTCCAAATGCTTCCTTTGAGGACCCACTGATGTGTGCTCGTGGGTATGTATTGGCGTGTTTCAATTAACTACTCTAGAATTACATTACTTAGTCTACTCACTGAGGATGAAACCATGCATCTGCCTCCTGTAAAGTCTTACACTCAATTTTTCATTTCCTTTCAAAAGATAATGCTTTTTTGTTGTTTCTGTTTTAAGATGCAACATACGAGGATAAAGTTAACCTATTCTAGTAGAAAGTATTATACGTAAAAAAAAAAAAAAAAAAGGTTATTATTTTATGCCGGATGCTTGGGGGGGGTTGTAGTTGATTTCCTTGAAATTTCCATATAGAACCAAAGCCGGTTTCCATCATTTTGAAGATGAGTTGTTACAGGACAGAGTTCACTTAAAACCTTCTCCTGCAGTCACTAGAATTGATGCTCTCTTAAAGAAGAAGAAAAATAAAAGAGAAGAGCTATTGGCACTCTTAAATGTCGTCCTGCATCCCCCACTTGTTTTTTTGTTTATTCATTTATTAACTCAAATACTCAATTGCCAAAACTGCCATTTCCAAAAAGTAACTTGACACTACATATTAGCCAATATTCATTCCACATTAAGGAAATGGGACAATTGAGGAAAACTGATAGTGAGAACTACATGTTGACATTTTGTGAGTGCCAAGAGCACCTCTCGAAGAGAATTAAACACAACATTAAGATCTCTGGTTCTAACAGAAGTGATGTAGGTACACAGTTTATGCATTACTTCAAAGTTCGATTATGCCATGCGCATCATCTACGAGATTGTTGTGATTTTTTCCCTGATTTTATTGCTCTTGGAGGTACAACTGTGTGTTGTACCCAATTTGAAGAGTTGGAGAGAATGTCCCTTGTTGGTACACCAATCTTCCACCAAAGTATGAGCGTCATTTTGCAGTTCTCAATAGAAGCTTAACAGATCACCTTTTATATAACCTGCTGTTTTGTTAGATCATTCTGCTTCATTAGCTTTGTGAGACTGAATTTATAAATTAGAATCTCTGCGTCACATGAGCTTTTCTTTTGGTAGGTTGAAGCAGATCAAATCAGCGTTTTATTCACTTCCCAAGGTCCTCAATCCATGCTGATTATAATGTTCATTTTTTGTCATGTGTGAAATGCTTTTGGGGTTTCGTTTTGAATTCAATAGTGACAGTTGACGTAGTGAAATTACTACCCTTTGAGCATGTCAAGGTTCTTTGTCTTGTCTTTCTGTTCTTTTCTGCCTTTGTTTATTCTTTTTTCTATAGTTGGTCAAATTAAATGGTGGTTTGTGGTGTATCGGTAACTGTACAAAGAGATCGACATAGTAGGAATAAGTTCTGTTTGGGATAGTTGGACTAAGTTTCAAATTTCTTTTTAGAGTGTCAATATTTTGAAGATTCTGCGGAAACCCAGACTATGCTGCCCCAACCCCCATCATAACATGATGGCATGAATTCTTTGCGTACAGCTTGTTGAATTTTCGATCCTGGAGAAACTTGGGTTTGATGCAAATAAACATAATTTGAATATAGGAAGTTGTATTACCTACTCTAGATCATAAAAGTTACTTCCCTATGAATGACTAACGTAAGAGAGTTCTTTTCAGTGCTTATGATTTTAAACGAGTTTATGTGGTAGAGTTGAAGTGGTGCTTTTCTTCTTGCTCTACTTACTGCTGTTGACGTGTTTATTTAGCTTTACAGCATCTTTGGTTTGTTTTTTTTCCTATTTATCAGATCTTTAGTGAATCAAGAATTGTGGAATACACCATCACAGAAAATATGATTTCACCAGGAAATCATGAGGTGATTTCTTTTTCAACTCTCGTCAAAGTTTTTTCAGTTGTTCTTTGAAAACATATTTTGTTTGTGTCAATATGTTGTAAGACCTAATTAGATGTCCCTGTCATTTGAGTGCAGATAATGATCGATAACAAACAACATTACAAGTTCATGGGGAAAGACATAGATGTGATATCACTCATCAAATTGCACCTTTTGGAAGGAAAAGTTGTTCGCCATGAAGATTGGTATGTACTAAAACCTTTAACATTCTTTTTTGTCCTCCATTTGTCTTTTGGTATATTTTGTTCTAGCTTAAATTTAAAAACCTGCTTTATATTTCTGATGAATACCCTTTAACCAAAGTTTGGAACCAAATATGTTTTCTTCTGATTACCAGGTGTGGTGTTAAATTTATGGTAGATATTGAGTAAGATGCAATCAATTTAATGAGAGATGATGTACTATATATTTGTTTTTGGGTCAATGATGGCGTAGTGTATTGTTGTATATGCTTTTGTCAGCTTTGAACCAAGTCTGTGTCGTTCCATCTGATGCTAGTTTAGACTAGCCAACCTATCAGAAGAAAATAGTGCCTAAGGGAATAAATTTAGAACAGAAGTCCTAGAATATTTTAGCATAAGGGTTTATGTAAACATAAATTCTACATAGAGCATAGACCTCTAGTCTGATTTAAAGTGAAGTTCAAGTTTGGGTTATTCAGAATTTATTCTTAGAACTGTAATGCTATTTACATAAATTTTTCTGTCAGATCATTTATGAAAGTGAAGATGAAATTTTTGTAGGTGGGACAAGAAGCCTCTTTGGAATAGAGAAACAGTTAAGATACCGCTGATTGGCCGCGTTGTGGAAATGACTCGTAGGGGTTCAATGTTGGCAACTCATGTTATGATGGGGTTTGGGAAGGATCCATCCACGGATATAAAATAAACTCCGATATATAGACTGACGTTAGTATAGTTTGCCCTTGGGGTTGTGTATATCTTTTCCACAATTTTAATCTTGTTTTTAGCTTATGCTTGCTTTTGATAAACTGATATTAAAAATGAAAATCTGGCTGGAGTCAGATTTATATGTCATGTTTAGTTCTATGTCAGCTTCATGATTTGATACTGGATATTTGGAAATGGTCGAGCCAAAGTAATGTAAATTAACATTTTATATGCCTATCTGCTAAAAAAAAAAATGTTATGTCTAATTTACAAGTGATAGATCAAATAGTTCTTTGGAACCATGACAGTTTTGAATTTGATCCCATTGATAGATCAAATAGTTCTTTTCTTGTTTTAATCGCTGAATTTTTACCCATATTGGGCAGCCAACTGAAGCAGCCCATGCAAGGAGAAAAACTTAGTTACAATGGGAATGACACTATTTTGCTATCCCAGCCAATAATGTTATTCCGTGTGGAAGTGTTGTCACGCATGTCATAGCGTTGTTGGTCAGGGATAGCAATTTGCTATCCCTGTTTCATGGAAGTCTTTCTCCCCTTGCGAGGTCAAGTTATAGCTGAATCTGAGCTTTAGCGATTTGGAGATGTCTCCATACACTTTTCTTCCAAATGTTCCAAGGTTATGGTGTGATGATGATTCAACTCGATGAACCACACCCAAAGAAAAAAGGGTTTGAAAGCTGGAAAAATGCAACACATACAAAAGTTGAAAAACAACTTTGCAATTGATAACATTTAGACAACATACATTCTTTGAATCACTAATATGTATGATATAATTTTCCCACATTGGAATGTTAAGGGACTTTGCATGATAATTGGAGCTATTTCGCTCGTTGCCAATTGATTTTGGGATCGAACCTCAACTTATTTGTTTTGAATGTCTGAATGTAGTTGTACTTATTTGTTTTGAATGTCTGAAAGTAGTTGTTGAGACGAGTTGAATATCAACTCTGGTGTTGATTTCTGTGTGGAATGATCAACGTGAGGAATTAAGAGCGAGATGATTCTTGAAGGTTCTTCCACTTAAGATATTGCTAGATGGAGAAAGTAGCTTCTCATTTGGAAGTAGCCAGCCATTTCACCATATACATATTAGCCTTGCTTTATTCTTTTTTGTTTTCCTCCTTTTTTTTTTCTTTGTTATTTTTTTTCTTGGGTTGAAGGACATTTACATGGAAGATATATTACTCGCTGAACAAGGACCAAGAGCAATTTGGATACTATGTATGCAACGAGTAATTTGAAACGTCACACTGCTTCTTCAACTTGGTACTCCTGCGGGCACTTTTAACATTTCATGTTTGGCAGAGTCATTTCATTGTCATAAAAATATGGCCTGATAGTAGTATGTGTCAGTTACCTTAGCAGGTTCGAAATATATCTCTTACCTTCCTATCCTTGAGCATGTCAGGTCATGATAGGCAGTTTTCTACCAGGCGAGTCAAATGTAGCGCCGAAGAAGCTGATGCCGGAGTCTGCAGGAAACGACTGAAGAAGATGACCTGGGTGGACATGGGCATGCAGGCTCATAACAATGGACATAGTATAGACAACAATATAACAAATCATTTTCTGGTAAATGTATGCATACAATGATGCATACATTTTCTGCTATTTGAACCAGCAATTTCTGTTTGGAGTTTCTTCTATGATCCATGTTGTAGCTGCCGAATGTTTGTTTAGGGAGTCCCCTCTATGTGCACAAAAACTCTTTTTGACTAAAAACTCCCCATATAATATTAAACACTAGATTTAGTGGGAGAAACAATACCAATTAAATTGAATATCCAATATTGCATTGCATAATTTATAAAACAAAGCAAAAAGAATTGTTAAAACCAATCGGTGAAGATTTGTGTTCACAAATTGGCTTGAACCAAAGTATTCATTTACAACTAAGAATTGTTTGGATGCATGAAGCTAACTGAAATCTGACTGAAATTGTTTGGATGCGCATAGATTAATCTTCTATGTGCTCAAGCCTAAATTGTATATTCATAAATGTTTTGCCAAAATTTGTTGAGAGTTTGTTTAAAACTTGTTCAAATTTCCATTTTTACTAGTCTCAATAAAGTTTGAATTGTTGAGACAAAAAAAAAGGGCCGTTGCTTGCTTTTCCCTAGAGACTACAAAAGCTCAAGCTATGGAAACTTTGTCTCTCTCTCTCTCTCTCTCTCTCTCTCTCCAAAATTAATCAAAACTTTGATGGTTTGAATATCGTCTTTGATGGGACAGAGAGAGAGTTGATATTAAATAGAAAAGGTGCAAAAGCCATCAAAAAGTATGTTCCTTTGAATGCTTTAGACCATCAATGACCCCTAGAAAGAATACACAAGTAGTGGCTTCATGCTTTTTATTTGTTTTCTCCCCATTGCTTTTTCTAATAACTCCCTTTTTGCCGATTGCAATGATTTCTAGATCATGTACTTCTAATAAGATCATATGTCGAAAACGGCTAGTGCAATAGCTTCTGTGTAATATTTAAACAACCTTTCAAGTCATTGGGATCACAAGTTCAATGATAGTGATCAAGGAGAGAAAAGGGAACTTGAATGGTAGGCCCTGAATTAATGGAAAATTCATAAAAATATTTTTACCTACGACAACAACATTCATATTGCTATTTAGATTTCAAAATTTATAGACCAAAAACGAGGAACCCCATCAAAATTCAAAATTCAACAGAATATGTGTGAGCCATGGAACTTGTAATTCATTGCAAGCATTCACTCTTTCAACTAAGGAGATAATCAATGTAATTTACTTGTGTTTGGACCAAAATTAATTCAACCCAATTTTTGCAGTCGGTGGTCCTATTATGTTTTGTGTGTTTTGGTGTGTTTGCAGTTCTTTCACTCATCATTAGTTCTGGTGGCGATGTCTCGATCTTCATAGAAGTAGTGGCAGCGGTACTTTGGCATTTGGTGGTGTTTCTGCTTTTGGTTGGCTCTGACTTTATGCCAGTTTTGTACTATGACTTTATGTCAGTTTTGGGCTCTGGCTTTATGCCTGTTGTAGACTTTATGTTAGTTTTGAGCTCTGGTTTTATTCCAATTGTAGACTTTATGCCTATTTGAGTTTTATTTCTAGTGGGCTTTTACTGTTGCATTTGTTTGGACTTATTTTTATGAGTTCCACTATCTTGTAATTGACATTGCCTTTCTATCAATGAAACTTGATTCCGACAAAAAAATAAATAAATTATGTGAATAGTCAAAACCGAGTTATCAAAATCAGCTATAAAATGTTTGAAATTCATGTCCAAAAGCCTAAGAGCCCATCAAACAACACCGGACCTTAAACGGGACATTGACCAAACGAGCTGGTCAACCAGAAAGACAAGGGTTCATTGGACAAAATGTGTCCGATGAATATTATAGATTTCAATTAAATGTTTTCAAAGCCAAATTAAAAGGGCTGTTACAAAAATATATGATTGTGTCCCCCTAAATGGACAAAGATATTTCTTTTCTTAAAATTCATAAATTAACAGACAATGTAAATTTATGAATTTAAAATCAGTTTTTTGCCAACACATGGTATGTCGTAATTGGTTCAGAAAAGAAAATCATTGATTTAAATAAATAAGGGTTTGAGGATTTGTTTATTCATAGGTTTTTAGGATGAGATCCAAGGGTGTCCACCGCCGACAGTAGTGACTAATCCCTTTCGCCGCTGGAGCTCTCCCAAAGGAGTATTCATAGGTTTTTAGCTAAACCTCAAAAGACCATTACTTCTGCCTGGGTAAAAGCGCGAATATCCAATTTCGAACTCAAAGTTGACTTTGACAACTGATGGAATGTTAGACGAAGAAAGGAGAGCAAGACAACTGCATTAAATGCGATTTGAACCATGAAGATCAGCCACACCAATTTGTCTAAGCCAACTAAAAGCACAAGAACTAAGGATGATTCAAAGACCACCAAGCTCAGGTGCAGAGAAGAGGCCGATAATCAATCGAAGCATCCCTTTTTACCAAGAGGACAAAACCAAGGAGCCAAAAAGACTATAAATAATTTAAGAAGATTTGATTCAAAGTACAACCAATTTCTCTCAAGAACAAACATCTTATTTGAACAAACTTCAAATACACTCGACTCAAACAACTTGCCAAATGTATCTCACAATAGATCAAAGGCCACAATTTGAATCAAATCCTCTCTTAATCCCTTGAGTTCCCAGTTGACAACTCCTGATTGGAACTCTTTTCTTCTCCAAACACATACTCTATCTAATTCCAAGTTGACAACTCCTGATCGGAATTACTTTGTTATTGTTTTTTGTAATCTTAATGCTTTGCCAACATTAGTGCTTGGTATGATTTTTGTAAGCTAGTCACTTGTTCTAGTTGATCTAAGATCAAATTCGTATCTGAGCCTTCCTGAGCATTGCAGATACTGCTAACAACTTCATCGGACTCATTGTATCATCTCAAGTAGATTACAGTGGTGTCTGAGGAGTTATGTTTCTCTCTAATAAATACCCCTTAGTTTCTGTCAGGTTGCTTATTGTTTTTAATCAAGTGTATTTGGTTTAAATGGATTTGCATTTGCTTTCTTGTAACAGTATCATGCCTTTTAGACACTATCATCTTTAAATTTTTACTGCACATTCTGTCCGATATTAGTTTAAAGTTATTATTTCTTTCAAGTTTTATCCCATTGCAAGTGAAATATTAAGGTCCTTTTAATTGAGGCATAGAAAAGAACCTATCCAAGCCAAATTCCCCACTTGGAGCACAATGGCTTTGGTTAGAGGTAAAGATCAACGAGTGCAACACCATCTTCACATCAATGAACCATTCATTTTGGCACGCCTAACGCATACAAAGAGAAGGCCAGCTTTGAGCCCGAACTAAGGGCTCAATGTGCTTTTCTTGATCAACAAGCAACATATCACAGTTGAATATAGCCTACAAAAACACTGGGGCATCACAGTGTTAACCAAAAGCCCACAAGCACTTTTGGCACGTACAACTTGACTTACTAATTTCTTTTGGCTTATTATCACAAAAGGTCCCTAAGGTTTACGAAACTATCAGATTGCATCCTTAATGTTTTTTTGTGTCACTTATGGTCCTCAAGGTTAGTATGTGTGATCACAAATGGTCCTTGCCGTTAGGTTCCGTCAAAAACTCCGTTAGTTTGCTGACGTGGCATATATACATATCACAAAACATCCCTGAGGTTAACACATCTATCACAAATG